AGTAGAGACGGGGTTTCACCATATTGACCAAGATGGTCTCGATCTCTTGACCTCGTGATCCACCCGCCTCGGCCTCCCAAAGTGCTGGGATTACAGGCTTGAGCCACCGCGCCCGGCCCAATTTTTGTATTTTTAGTAGAGATGGGGTTTCACCATGTTGGCCAGGCTGGTCTCGAACTCCTGACCTCAGGTGATCCACCCACCTTGCCCTCCCAAAATACTGGTATTACAGGCATGAGCCACTGTGCCCAGCCTCTGAGTGACTTTAAATTAATTTGAGTGAACAACCTTAGAACCAAAGAACTTTTGCTAATGACCAAAAGAACTATAAATAAATCTTTTACTGTTTTTTGTTTGTTTTTTGAGATGGAGTCTCACTGTATCACCCAGGCTGGACCCAGGCTGCAGTGTAGTGGCGTGACCTTGGCTCTTTGCAACCTCTGCCTCCCAGGTTCAAGCAATTCTCCTGCCTCAGCCTCCTGAGTAGCTAGGATGACAGGTGCATCACCATTCCTGGCTAATTTTTGTATTTTTAGTAGACACAGGGTTTCACCATGTTGGCCAGGTTGGTATCAAACTCTTGACCTCAAGTGATCCACCTGCCTCGGCCTCCCAAGGTGCCAGGATTATAGGCATGAGCCACCATGCCTAGGCTACAAGGTGTTTTTTTAATTGGCCAGATATGGTGGCTCATGCCTGTATTCCCAGCTACTCGGGAGGCTGAAGCAGGAGGATCGCTAGAGCCCCGGGGGTTAAAACTGCAGTGAGGTATGATCACACCGTAACAATTAAAATATGCTTAATCCCCGCTGGATGTGGTGGCACATACCTGAAACTCCAGCTACTCAGGAGGCGGAGGCAGGAGGGTCACTCAGGCCCAGGAGTTTGAGATTGTAATGGTGCCATAATCGCACCTGTGAGTAGCTGCTGCACCCAGCCTGGGCAGCATAGAAAGACCCTGACCCTCAAAACAATTTTTTAAAAAAGGAAACTATGGTCATCAGCATCAGAGGACTGTGGTTCCCAAGAGAAGAGACAGTGAACTGGCCCAGCGCCCATCCTGGCGTCCCACCTGGGAGTGCCCTTCAGATGGTGGCGCAGGAGAGGAACCTGGGCAGAGCAGGGCGTCTTGCTAAGTCAGCCAGGCAGAGGTTAGCGCTGGGGAAAGAGGCTCAGCTCAAATGCATGGGGTAAAGTTCCAAAGAAGAGGGAGCTACATAGAAAAATCTACTAAAAACACAGAAGAAGGTTATCAGCGTGCTCCCCTGCCTTGTTTTCACTTCTAATCATTTCTCATGATTCTCCCTTTATGCTTATGTTTCTGAGCTAGCACACACACACACGATTCCCTGCTTTGTTTACACACAAGGAAGCTCCGCACGGTGCCCTGTTCTCATCAACCACGTCGCTTGGTGATCGCTCCGCTTTGCATACAGAGCACCTTCTACCCTTGTTAAGCCACTGAAGAACTTATTAAGTCAGCAGCTTCTCTTCGTGCCCTTCCCACTTATGCCACCTCCGGTTAGTGGCACAGCATCAGGAACGAACCACAGGCTAAGCCAGGAGCTATGGACACAACTCTGGACAAGTTTGCTTCCTAAATCTCGGTATCGCCTTCCATAAAATGAGAATTCCAGTGCCCTCCTTCCTCACAGGGTGGGGTATCATACATGAATTAGATAAGAATGAAAGCATCTGGCAGAGGCATAAAAGGGGATTCGCATTCCAAGTCCCCGTGACTGCTCTCAGTCTGCTTAGACGCCTGTCTTCTTCTTGGCAGAAGCTGCTTTGACCGTGCATATGCGCTCTACTAGACTGTAAGACCCTTCTTTGCTGAGAAAACTCACTTGAAAGAAGCTCTCTTCCAGCGTTGCTTGTGAAGCTATGTGTGAGCACAAGCACGCAGCTCGGCAGTGCAACCATCCTTGCATTCTGGGTATGACTGTCCCTCGGAGGAACCACGGTGGAGTATGCACCCGTGCTGCTGACAAGGAACCTGCTCAAAGGGGCCCTCCCTGTCCACTGTTACAGGGTCTGCAAGTAGCCATCTGCACCCTGCTCTGTGACACATGCTATGTCACAAGAGGAGAGCACCAGGGGCAGCATGACAACGTTTAGAGGGGAATAGAATCTAAAAGGGGATAAAGCAGGCGGTGGGTCAACAGCAAGAAACAAGAGAGAGAAAATGTTCTGACTTTGTGTTTACTTCAATATGCTTCCAGGCAGGGCACAGTGGCTCGTGCCTGTAGTCCTAGTGCTTTGGGAGGCAAGGCAGGAGGATTGCTCAAGGACAGTGGTTTGAGAAGAGCCTGGGCAACATAGCGAGGTCCTATCTCTACAAAAATACAAATAAAAATTAGCCGAGCACGGTGGCGCACACCTGTGGTCCCAGCTACGCAGGGAGGATCACTTGAGCCCAGCAGTTCAAGGCTGCAGTGGGCTGTGATTAGATTACTGCACTCCAGCCTGAGCAACATAGCGAGACCCTGTCTCAAAAAAAAAAGGCTTCTAAAACTCAATCATTAATTGGAAATTATAACCATCTCTGCTTCTTGCCTAAACACAGGGGAATGATCATGTTAATAGTATTTCATTGTTTTAAAGCATTTTTCTTTTTTTTGTTGTTTCCATTCTCTGTTAAGTACTAAATCCATGTTCTGCACCCAACCTCCTGTATCCAAGTCCCTCTAACGAAGTCTACCCGTTACATGCGAAAGCCTTGCTCACTTACCACGATCATCAAGGAGAATATTCTCAGGCTTTAAGTCTCTGCAAGGAAAGAAACAACAAAAGCCTCAGTTACTCAGAAGTTGGCACTGTGACTCCTGAGTTCCCAGCAGGAACAGCCGGCCGCGAGCAGGGGCGGTGAGCGAGGGCCAGGATGGCACAGAACAAAGCCGACCTTCACGAGTCACGGCAAACAGGCTTTAGCAGTCACATGGCAGGACGAGAATTTTACAAAATCCATCTCAGCAAACAACTTACATACAACGACAGTGTAAAATGAACTGCTTTGCGTAGTTATACAGATCTGAAGACATTTCAGTGATTAAATACGCACTCCAGTAGCAAGGAAAGCAACTAGTCTGTAATGAACGTGGCTCAATTTCTCTTATTAATATATTTTTAAGAGTTCCCCAAACTGAAAAGTCTCCATATCAGAATGCCTCAAGCTGGGTGCAGTGGTGTGTACCTGTAGTCCCAGCTACTCAGGGGGCTGAGGTGGGAATATCACTGGGGCCATCGGTCATTCATTCAACAAGTACTTAGTGATAACTGCTGACGGTGAGTCCTCTGGACACAGTGGTGGACGGGGCAGACACGGTCCAGCCCCCGCCAAGTGCAGGCGGGTGAGCCAAAGCTTACATGAGAAAATCCAGCTCACCTTGAGACATAGTCACCTGTGAAGTGTGATTTACTCCAGGAGTAACATAAGAATCAAATCTCCTACGGGTGTGTTCCATGCTCCAGTGCCACCAGACTCTTACGTCTAAGCAATGGCAACAAGGCTTCCTCACCTCAGGCGAGGAGCTCTGTCTCCAGAGGCCTCAGAGCCAGGGCAGCAGTCCGCCCCTGCTCAGTGCTCAGCCCCACTGCCGAGCCTGGTCCCCGGTCCTTGAGAAAGATGCATCCCATACTGGCTACAGGACATATATGATAGGGAGAAGCTGAAGGTCCATCAGAATAGGGAGAAGTGAGATCAAAGACTCCCAAGAAGCTCACTGCCTGGCGTGACCAGCTGAGCAGACAACATGGGGAGCACTACGGGATGTGGAGGAGGAGCCCATGCTCGGGCTCATACCCTCATGCTGCATGGGCTAACTCTGTGTGGATGAGCAGGAGTCTCTCAGAACGACAGGAAGAGTGGCACCTTTTGCAAAGGTGCGGCGAGGTGAGGACACCTGAGTGGCTGAAACCCTCGCATGATGAGGCCAGGGGATGCCTGTGTGGGAGCAGGAGGGCCCGCGGCTGGAGGGCTCAGCACGGAGCTGTCTCACAAAGGCCATGAGAGCCAGGCTTACAAGGTGGCAAGGCAGACACCATCAGGTCCCATGCCAGGCCCCCTTCCTCTGGATGTCAGAATCCAAGGGTACTCGAGTCCCTGATATAAAATGGTGTCGAATTTCCATATAACCTACACACATCCTCCCAAGTACTTTAAATCACTTCTAGATGACACATACTACCTGACACAATGTAAATGACATGTACATAGTTATTATACTGTATTGTTAGGAAATAGTGACAAGAAAAAAGTCTACATGTTCGATACAGATGCAACCATCCTTTTTTTCTGAATGTTTTCTCTTTTTTCCCCTTTCAGCCTGTTGAGAAGGATTTTCAGAATAGTTTTGATTCGCAGCTGGTTGAATGCACAACACAGAACTCATGGATATGGGGGACCCACTATGACTGGTAGATGAACCCACAGAAGCGAACACATAAAACTGCCCAGGGAGAGTGACTGAGAAGAGACTCAGAACTCCAGCATTCAAGGGCTAGGAAGAGGAGCTGTTTCTCCTAAAACTAAATATATTGATTACACTAAACTAGTAAGTTTAATTGAATTTTCTTTACTAAATTCTAAGATGCAAAAAGAAACTGCTATTTCAAGACATTAAGTTGTTATCTTATATGGCAGGACGTAATAGCTCCTTATCAGAATGGTCAAAATACCTAAGAACCTTAGAAATGTGTTCTTCTCACACTTACATGAGTAGCACTACCTTTAATTGTGATCAACTTAACAAGTAAAAAACAAACTTCTCCTTCAAAAAGACAATTTATTAGAGATTTAGGCCGGGCACAGTGGCTCACACCTGTAATCCCAGCACTTTGGGAGGCTGAGGCGGGTGGATCACCTGAAGTCAGGAGTTCGAGACCAGCCTGGCCAACATGGTGAGACCCTGTCTCTGCTAGAAATACAAAAAGTTAGCTGGCCATGGTGGTGGGTGCCTATAGTCCCACCTACCTAGGAGTCTGAGGCACGAGAATCGCTCAAACCCGGGAGGTGGAGGTTGCAGTGAGCTGAGATCGCACCATTGCACTCCAGCCTAGGTGACAGAGTGAGACTCCATCTCAAAAACGACAACCACCACCACCACCACCACCCAGGGCCCTCTGACTGACCATATTTCCCATAGTGTAAGTGACCACCCCTATGAATCACCATCCAGGGGCTCTGAGCTGCTCTCCTGCGTAGCCTGGAAGCAACCAGTGTGAGCCAGGGAAGCCCAGCGCTGGGAGAAACCTGCTCCAAGGCTTGCAGGCTCCATTAGGCAGCACCATTCTTACCTGTATACAATTCTTTCCCTCTGTAAATCTTCCAAGCCGCAACACAGCTCTGCAGCATAGAAAACAGCTCTCTGCTCATCAAAGCCGGGATTGCCCAGGTTGTAAATGTGAAACTTCAAATCCCCTCCATTCATAATGGTGAGCACCAAGCACAAGGCATCTTTGGTTTCATAAGCGTAGGCTAAACTAACCTAAAGACAGCAACATCATAAAAACAGAACACGGACAAGCTCATTCATTGGTGATTTCCTCTATTTGCTAACAATATGCAAATAATCCTTGTTAGGTTTATAATCAGAACATGTGAATACTATGTTTCAGAGAAATGTACACATCACGTGCCTCTTGGACCTTAGCATACTGAAGATTTAACCGCAGCTGGGTAGCAAAAAGAGAGAACTTTCTAGAGCTAAGCGAAGAAGTGGTGAAACTTTACCACGATACTTGGGATCATGACTCCTCTGTGCTGTGCTCTCATCACTCGAGCCCAGGTGATCCACGGGCCTCAGCCCCCCAAAGTGCTGGGATTACAGGCGTAAGCCACAGTGTCTGGCCTTTTTTTTTTTTTTAACTTTAAGTGCCAATGTCCTGATCTTTTTCTTTCAAATTTTTTTTTTTTTGAGACGGAGTTTTGCTCTTGTTGTCCAGGCTGGAGTGTAACGGCGCAATATTGGCTCATCACAACCTCCGCCTCCTGGGTTCAAGCAATTCTCCCGCCTCAGCCTCCCAAGTAACTGGGATTACAGGCATACGCCATCGTGCCTGGCTAATTTTTGTATTTTTAGTAGAAAAGGGGTTTCTCCATGCTGGTCAGGCTGGCTTTGAACTCCTGACCTCAGGTGATCCGCTCACCTTGGCCTCCCAAAGTGTTGGGATTACGGGTGTGAGCCACCATGACTGGCTGTGTCTGGCCTTTTTTTTTTTTACATTCAAACTGCTACTGGATGCCCTTTTTTTAAAAAAAAAATTTTTTTCTGCAGAGTCCAGGCACAGGAGTAGTCATGCTTATAATCCCAGCACTTTGGAAGGCCAAGGCAGATGGATCATGAGGTCAGGAATTTGAGACTAGCCTGGCCAACAAAGTGAACACCCGTCTCTACTAAAAACACAAAAAAATTAGCTGGACCTGGTGGCAGGCGGCTGTAGTCCCAGCTCCTCAGGAGGCCGAGGCAGGAGAATCGCTTGAACCCAGGAGGCAGAGGTTGCAGTGAGCCGAGATCATGCCACTGCACTCCAGCCTGGGCGACAGTGTGAGACTCCATCTCAAAAAAAAACATTGTAGAGATAGGGTCTCCCTATGTTGCCTTAAACTCCTGGGCTCCAGTGATCCTTCCACCTTGGCCTCCTCCCAATGTGGTGAAATGACAGGAATGAGCCGCCAAGCCCAGCCGAACGTTTAAAGCAACTCCCAGGTAAGTCCATTGTATGAAAGATTTCCATGTAATTGTGTGTGAAACTGACATATCACACACACACCGTGCTATTAAACTCAGATACCAGCTGTAAAGGTAAACGGTTTGGGAACATTCGTCCCCCAGCACAAAGCAGCTAACCTTAGGGCTAAGAAGCAAACAGTCTCAAGGAAAGAACTCTAACACTACAAATGATTTTATAATTATTGTTCACACTCTCCCTTCAGCCAGTCTTCATGCTTTAGCAGCTGCTGCAGGAGATGTGTAGCTAGGTAGAGAGACACTGGGTTTGGAGAGGAGAACCACACGACACAAGGCACACATCAAGCCTGGAGCCGCTTCCCTGAGCTCATACCAGTCCACCTAGTGCTCTGTCCTTCCCGGAAACAGTGAAGGTGGAATGGGAGGCTTCATACAATTGGGATATGCTAGTTGAGGGCCTAGCGGTAAACTTCCCAGAAAAAAACAAAAGACAGAAAACAAATTGAGGCCAGAGAGAGGAGGTCCATGTGAGAAGAGGAGCTAAAGAAAGTACCCTCAGCCGGGCACGGTGACTCACGCCTGTAATCCCAACACTTTGGGAAGCTGAGGCAGGTGGGTCACTTGAGCCCAGGAGTTCAAGACCAGCCTGGGTAG